AAGAAATAAAATAAAGAAAATGATTAGAAGTTTCCTGTAACTAATTATTCTCTCCTGGATAATGTGATCAATCGAGAGTTTAAACTGAGGTTCCCAAGAGCTTCATTGGTATTGTGGTCTAATTGGCAATAGAAAAACATTGGATGGTAAGTTGCAAGCAAGAAAGTAAGAAAACGAAAGGTTTAATATTTTAAGGGACAAAAAAAAAAAAAATTTCTCAGAAAGTATTTGTACCAGGATTTGTCTATTTGTTTAAAACTATACTTGGCCTGGTATTGTTTTTACCATCTATCATGAATTGAATTGGGTCCTCCCAGAATATGTGTAAACTTGGAGGGGCGATGATTCTCAGGAATCTGGCAGTCATGTAATGATATAAGTTGATGTTGTTGTTGTTGTTGTTGTTAAGTGCCGTCGAGTTGACTCCGACCCACAGTGACCATATATACGGTTTCCAAGGAGCAGCTGGTGAGCTTGAACTGCCAATCTTGTAGTTCTAATGGCTTTGCAGTCTGGCGCATTAATCCACAGCGCCACATAAATTGATAGGTATGTAATTATGAACTGATGTGATCAGGGGATTAGGGTGGGACAGGAAAACCTTACTCAAAGTCATAGCCCTAATTCAAAGTAAGAAGAGTTTCCCCTGGGGTGTAGCTTGCATAACCTTTTATCTTAGGAGATAAAAGGAGAAAGAAAGAAGTTAGTCAAGAAAAACAGATCTCGTACCATCAAGAAAGAAGAGCCAGGAGTAGAGGAGATCCCTTAGACCTGGAGGCCCTGGACTGAGAAACTCCTATACACCCATTGGATGATTGATGACAAGGACCTTCCCCCAGAGCCCACAGAGAAAGAGCCTTCTATATTCCAGAAAAGGATTGTTGTTGTTGTTAAGTGCTGCTGAGTCGGTTCCAACCTGTAGCATTTAGGGTTTCTGAGGAGCAACTAGTTAAGCATGAACCGCCAACTGTGTGGTCCAAACTGACTTTGCAGTCCAGCTCATTAACCCACAGTGCCACACCAGGACAAAGGGATCAAAATAGTAACTTACCCATAATTCTCTCCCCAGATCCAAACACAGCTGAAATATTGGTAAGTTATAGACTAGAAAGTCTATAATTTACATTAGATGTACGTGGACAAATGAAAGTAATTAAAGTCATCATGTATAGTAATTCTGTATTAGATTTTTTAAAATATGATATAAACATTTCTTAAGATTTTTGTCAACATCATTTTTAATGTTGGTCTTAAAGTTCATTTAATCAATATTCCTTAAATACTAGGGATTGAAACTTCCAATGTTGTGTTAGTATCTTATCACTCTTGCTACTCTGAACATCTATTGTTATACAAACTTCACCCACGTTCCAGGAAAATTTGCTAGAAAGGGAAAATAAATAAAATACTTTTATGACAAAAAAAAAAATCTCAAAATAACATTTTTCTCTGATAGTCTGAATTTTCATCAACATGACAGCATCCAAGGCAAAACCAAGTCATGCTTTCACTCTGATGGTACAAGGTTTCAAGGATGGGCAGAGTTATATTAACACCTATGTATGATAAGCAGAAGGATCTCTGGTAGCATAGTGGTTACGAATTGGACTGCAAACAGCAAGGTCAGCAGTTCGAAACTACCAGCTGTTCCGCAGGAGAAAGGTGAGGCTTTCTGCTCCCGTAAAGATTTACAGCCTCGGAACCGACTCCATGGCACATAACAACAGCAACAACGTGGTAAGCAGAATAATGGCTTCTCAAATACATTTGTATTTCAATCCTCAGAACATGTGAATATGCTGCCTTACATGGCAGAGGGACTTATATTGTTGTTTTTGTTAACTGCCACTGAGTCAGTTACGACACCTAATGACTCTGTATAGAGTTTTCAAGGAGCACCTGGTGGGTTTGAACCACTGACTTTGTGGTTCCCAGTCCAGTACTTATCCTACAGCACCATACCAGGAGTCCAAAGGGACTTTATGTTGTGGTTGTTAAGTGCCATTGAGTCGGTTCTGACCCATAGTGACCCTGTAGCACCATACCAGGAGTCCAAAGGGACTTTATGTTGTGGTTGTTAAGTGCCATTGAGTCGGTTCTGACCCATAGTGACCC